ATAAGGATGGAGTTTGCTAGCTAATCGCATACACCACTAGTAAATTATTACTAAGTAATATATATATATATATATATTATATATATATTAATACTTATATATATAATATATATATTATATGTGTGCTGTGTGTGTGTGTGTTGATGATGGTGGGCTTGTGTGTGTCGTTGTGTGTGTGTGTGTTGCGTGACTGTTGTGTGTGTGTATGTATATTATATGTACTGATGTATGTATTATATATATATTATATATATGTATATATAGTACATATATATATAATTATATATATATTATATATATATATATATATATATATATATTATACATATATATATAATTCTATATATATATATTAATATATATATTAATATAATATATATATATTATAATATATATATATATATATAATAGTATATTATATAAATTTTATATAATTATATAATATATATATATGATATATGTATTATATATTAATATATATTATTATAGCAAAACATACCTATAATAATATTATATATTATTAATATATTATATATTTATTTATATATATACACATATATAATATAGTTAACAATAAAAGATTTTTTTTTCTTTTTTTTTTGAAAAGGTACGATAGACTGGTTCCGTTTATTAAATATCAGACTCCTGTACACACCAGGTCAGTTTTGTCAAACTCATTTTTCTAAGGGCGTGAGTTGCGCAGAACCCATGTAAACGATTTGACAAGCTGCATCTTGTCCCTGTTGCTCACGGCAACACATGACACAATATGGCCGGCAACGGGATCAGGTGTGACCAGTACAGTGTCCTGGAGAAACAAAACAATATTGAAGCCACACTTATAGTGGCCTGAACCGACCCAGATTTACAGGAAAAGATTTTCTGAAGGATTTGGGGCGACAGCAGGCTTAGCGAGAAAGCCTGTGGTAGCTTCATTTACATGTCTTCAAGCTGATCCGTCCTTCTTTTTCCGTTATAATTATATCAACTATACCTGATGAAGTACAGTCTACTTCAGCGAGATGAATAACTCCCAATCCCAGTGAAGGCAGAGTATGAGAGAGGCAATTTTGGTGTGAAGAGATCGGATCAGAAGATTAAACAGGTAGATCCAGATCAAGGGCAGGATTGGCCGAATGGCATTTGCAAGAAAGGCATAATTGGCATCACAAAGATGACGTCAGCCTTAAGCAGCTGGGGTCTCTCTTTCAACTTGAGATCTCATCTGGTTAGTGAGACAAAGCTGGTCTGTGGGATAGGGCGAAATGCATTCACTCACAGTGAGAGCAATCTAGCCAGGCAGAAACTTGGTTTGAAGGATGAAGACGTCCCAATCCTTCAAGCTGTTTTCTCCTGATGCATGGCAAGACCTGCAGAGCATTGCAACAAAGGACATTGTTAAAAGGAACACTGAAGTTGACTTGCTCGCCAATAAGATTTACTGATGCAGTTTGTAGAAGAAAGGCTTTTGGATGGCGTCAGCAAGAAAGTCCTCCTCAGAGACACATTACCCAAGAACAAACCTCTACGAAGTGAAGCAGAAACAGTCTTGGACGACTACCAAGAAAGTAATCCAAGCAGACAGAAAGTCCTTGCAGCGCCTCATTCTTTCTTTCAAGGCTGGAAGGAATGTCGATCTGAGCCATATATTGAGTTATAAGCTGATGCCTGCCTCTCCTGCACTTGCAAAAACGAAAGGTGGTTCACGATCAGGCCAAAAATCCATTCTGTCAGAGGTTCTGATTGGTGACACACCTTGACCTCAACGTCTGCAGGCTGCTGACATTGGTGAAAAAGAAACACATATTGAGGATGGCCAGGCACACTTTGTAAACCATCAAAGGCAAAATTCTTTGGAGATCTTGCTGACATTTTCATTGCATCGACAATCCAAATTGGGGCTTTATTCAGTCGTACTGTATTGACATCGTTTTCGACAGATAACATGACTTATCCATCAAGAGTGGCCCATGGAAGAAATTGAGAAAGAAGGCAGTGTCTGAAGGACAATTTCATCACTCAGGCAAACAACAAAGCTGCTTTGGCAAGACTCTTCCCAGCACTTGGCTCTAAAGGCATCAGCAAACAAGACCATCGTTGTCGCTGGAGAATTCAGTGTCTTCTACACCTAATGTCAACACTCTGGAACTGGAGGGGTGCCATGAGGAAGCTACACTGCGTCAAGAGCCAAGCATCCAGCATCGTAGGTGCTGCTCGTAACACTGATTTACTGGTGCTTTACTTGGCTCACTTTGCAAAAATGCCATGTCCAAGGTTTGGGTGAAAGCTAGCACTTCCCAAAAACAGAAATACATCCCGATTCACTCTCTGGCAGCTCAGTTTGACAATCATATCCTCATCAGCTTGCCAACCTTTCAGTCACTGACAGGTTCTAACATTACATTTTTCTTGGTCACACAAAGAAATCATCCTGGAGCGTCTGTAATGAACATCACAGCCTTATCTGAACTCTCAACAGAGGTGTCCTCAGTGACCAGACCAGACCGTTCATTTGCAAAATCTAAGTTCATACAAGTGTCTATGTGGGCAGTTCCAGTCAGCTCTCTTGACTGCGGCTCACTTGTTTGAGACCCTAGCCCTAACTCACGGTAGTCTGTCCTTCCACATCAAGCATGCACACTGCCAAGCATCAGGATGGCAGCAGGCTGACAAACCGCCCCCTGAACTGCCTACGGAAACTATAGGGAGATTCAAGGTGGTGCCCTGCCCTACCTGTCCTAGTGCCAGAGTCCTGCTTAGAATTGATTACGTGTATCAACAGTGTATAACAACTGCTTGAAACTATGTAGATCTTCTCTGAAAATGATAACAGATGAAACGTGGAGGATTGAAGTTGACTTCCACTGCTGTCATTCCATGTTACCTTCAGTGTTTATGCTCAATAAACAGAGAAGCGTGGGAAACATAAACTGAAAGCAAACTCAGCAACTGGTTTGTATTATTGTCATGTTCACGTATAATAGAGCACAGTGTAGTCCCTGAACTTTAGCCATATAATATCCAGTCGTTAATCGTAATCTCCATGAAAAATCGGTATCAAAACTTATAAATAAGGTTTGGTTATGCAACTTAATTACCATAATACTAGGAAAAAAGAACCTCTAAAAAAAGCTGACCCTCTGCTAAAAAACCATTATTTAGAATAGAAGCTGCAGGCTGTCATTCGGGCAAGATAGCCAGGTCACTTTTTAAAGTAGCCAGTTTTAAAGCCCAATTCATATTTTGCCAGTGTGACATGGCAGATAAAACTAGAGATCATATGCAGATATTCACTGTTTGACCAGAAATGGTGTAAGAACATAATACAAGATTATTTAAGAATATATTGCAGCTCACACTAGTGAAACCTTCCCAAAACTTACACATCCGTGTAATAATGCTTCATGCTGAAATTGTCTTAAGTTAACAGCAATATCTTTTCCTGAGACAGTAACTCGCAATCTTTCTGACCGTTGATTATTGTAAGATACTTATTCGGCGAATACGAGGTAATCTCAATATACCAGTCTGCCATTGTGATTTATCAGATTTGAATTGATTTTACATTTAAATATTGAATTGCTAGAATTTATTGTACCGGGTGGGGATTTTGTTTATCTTTTTCAGTTTAATTATAGCATTACCTATATAGATATATTATNATAATTATTAATAAAAATATAATAAATAATATAAATTTTAATAAATTTTAAAATATTAAAATTTTTATTAATATATTATAAAATAATTAATAAATATAATATTTTTAAAATATATTATATTTTTAATTTAATAATATAAAATATAAATTATATAAATATTAAAATTAAATGAAATTTAATATAATAAAAATATAATATAAATAATATAATAAATAATATAGAGAGATTTTTTCTGATTCAGCATTGAATTAGATAAATTCAAATGTCTACAGCAATTTTGATGGCTTGTGGTTTATATTTAATAATGTCAGTGATGCTCTTGGGCTGTCGGCTGGGCGTAAGCATTACTGACTGGCCGATAAGGAGTAACGTCAGCGAGCTCCGCCCACTCGATCAGCAACCTACCTTTTACTTGTGAGCCCGTGACAGGGGCCGGCCGGTGAGAATGCAGGTCTATCCGCCCACTAATATCTAACATACCAATTATCTACAAGGAAATGCATCAGCTATATCGTGTTAACTATTGCGATTCCCACAGAAACGTTAGAATTACTTAGATGATCTTACTAAAGACGGAAGCAAGAAAAAGATCACGTCATTGTATCTAAAAGAACTTACCTTTAGCGGGTCATTTTTATTATCCGATCATAGCTATACATCAGACAAAGACCATCACATCCTCTAAATAACTACAACCACGTAACAACTCATCTGAACAAAATCTGGCATACTAAAGGATGCATATATATATACACACGTGTATATGTATATATATATATATATATATATTATATATATATATATATATATATATATATATATATATATATATAATATATATATATATATATATATATATATATATATACATATATATATTATATATATATAATATATATATATATATATATATATATATATATATATATATATATATATATATATATATATATATATATATATATACACATACATAACACACACACACACACACACACACACCACACACACACACACACACACACACACACACACACACACACACACACACACACACACACACATATATATATATATATATATATATATTATATATATATATATATGTGTATATATAAATGTATACATATTTTCATACATACATACATACATGCACAGATACATACATACATACATACATACATACATAAATACATACATGCATACATACATACATACATGCATACATGCACACACACACAAACACACAACACACAAACGCACACACACACAAACAACACACACACACACAACACACACACACACACACACCACACACACACACACACACACACACAC